ATTCGTAGGGTCCATTTTCTTGAACGTATAAACGTTCTATAATAACTTATAAGTTGGTCTATTTTATCAACACCCCCCATTGAAGTATTATATACTGTTACTATTTCCGGCCTTTCAATATTGACGTACATTTTTTGTTTTTTATCCCAACGTCTGATAGTTTCCAGTTGTCCAGACCCAATATAGTTGGAAACTAAACAAACAGACCTTGTATCATACCATTTTACCATACATAAATAGCAGTTATTCATATTTGTAGAAATTTCAAATGCCGTCCTCTTCCCATTTTGGCTAGTTGTTTGTCAGATAATAAGGGTGGGTTTGCGAACCGATTGGTTCTTATAGTACCAACGGCGTAAATTTGGTTGGTTTGCAACTGTTCTGAATAAATTAAACGTCGAAAAAAAGTTATCGAAATAAAGAAAATGTCGATTTTTTTCAAGGTGCTGTATTAAATGTAATACTACACTAGCACCAAGACCAAATTTTTTTTGAATATTTTGATTTAATTCAGTGGTAGCACCTTGATAAAGTAGTATATTGTAAGTCATACCACTTTCACCACATAACAAAAATGCCTTTATGCCCTTTTATGCTTACCTTTAACATACTGCTTCATTTGCAAATGACCTTTATAAGGAATCATTTGTTCATCCACACTTAAGTTTTTCTCAACTGGTAAACTATTCATTTTTTTATTGATTGCGTCGTATAAAGGACGTATTTTTATAAATTTATCAGTATTATTTTCAGGAATTTCTGTATTATTTATTACATGAAAATTTCGACGTAAGGTAAAAAAACGATCTCGTGTCATAGTATCCATTACAATATGCACAGTAGTAGCATTTTCCCAATACAATCTAACACGAGGATACTTTAGACATCCCATTATCAAATGTATCCCAATAAACTTTTTTATTTCATTAGAATTGGTGGGTTTATATCTAGTCTGCGATGTTTGTACGGCATATAAATTAGTATAATATACCATTTTTTTCAATAATATTTTCATCTAAGTACTGATAGAAATAATCTGTAATAGAAGGCATTTCAGGGGGGATAATTTATTTCCTCTAAATCATTCAATTTCAAATCTGGTGAATGAAAAGGAACTCTATCCCATTTTATATTTTTTTTTTCTGATATATTAAAATTAATATTATTACTTGTGTTTTCTGGTTCATTCAATTCTTCTCGGTCCTCGTATAACTCAGAATTATTTAATAATTCTTGTAGTTCTTCATTCTCATGTAGTTCACCCGTTTCTTCGTCCGAAAAATCCAATTCTGACACGTTACCGTCCCCCCAATAAATCAAAAATTTCATGGTCGCGTAACCCTCTAGCCATTTTAAATAAAATAAATAATAAAATAACTAATAAAATATAATATATTCTATTTTATTACTTTATAATATTATAATGACGTATAAGCGAAATAATAATAATATAGGGAGCGAAATGTAATCGGTATCGTAACGACACGTGAAACGCTGACGAAGTGATTACGAAATCACGAACGCCACGAACGTTCAGACCCAATGTCCTCTAAGAGGGACACATACAATACATTCGATAAAATTAGTTATATTAAACATAATAAAGTGGAAATTAGTTCAAAACACTTATATGATAGTTACCGAAATAAGAAAAAAAAACCAAGCAATTATCACTATCGGTTAATAATATATAGACATTTATATATACCAATTCCGTGGAAATAATATCAATGAAATAATATAAGATAATTCTGTCTTTAACTCTAGAAATTCGAATCCCACATTAATTTTGGAACTATTTTTGAATTCTACGGTACATTTCCTATACACTCAATATATAATTGAAGACAAATCATTATCACAGCAATAATATTAAATTAAATATTGTTGTATCCTCTAAAGAAGACATTGGGTCTGAGTTGGTATTTAGTAAATACTAATCAGGACGATTCATAATTATAGGGCTCTTTACATTGTATGCTACATGGGCATATCCGTGTCTGAAAATCACCCTAAATTAAACACCCATATAATGATTTAGATACGTTTATTCTCCCGTTTTTCTTAACGATCGCCTTCGACATTGTAGTTTACATTATGCAATTTAAAAATCAAATAAATTTTATTAAACTGTCATCTTCAAACATATATTATATTATACATAGGTAATATTGTTTTTATTTTGTTTCCCTTGTAGATATCAATATATCAAATCAATTTAATCCGTTATAGTTCCCAATATTAAAATGTCCAAATGTATTACAGACTATTTTTTTGAAAAAGATCAAAATATAGAAAAAAAAAAGAAAATTAATTATTGAAAATCGTATACCGTGTACAAGTACCAATTCTTCGTCTAGTACATTTGATACGACAGAAAATGAATCTCAGTTAAATACAGAGTGGTATAAATGGGCGAAACTAGATGTTACTTGGTTATTGCAAACATTTTCTATGCTCAAAAAAAATTAAATTGGGGAAGCGATCAGGATTAAAATGCATGGTTTGCTTTGAGCAAATTTCAGAAGCTATAAAGTTTTCTCGTAATGGGCATGTCAAAGAGAATTGATAAGGGTTGTTGACCATTTGCATAGTGACGCTCATAATGCCGCTCGTAAAGCTGACGAGACTCAGCGCCTATGGCTAACACAGACTGATAAACATCCATGGGTGAAAATTCTTAAAAACCATGAGTCGGAAATTATTAAAAATTTAATTGAATTAGCTGTCGATGTCCATAATGATAGCAAAGTATTGACATTATCTGCTAATTCTTGGCCATCTAGATCACTTTCGAAAATGCATGCTAATGCTCAAATTGCTAATTATGGAGAACATGGTTTGGATTCTAAATTTGCTTGTTTTAAACAATTCTCTTCTGCAGTTCACCATAAAAATCCTGTTATATATCGTGAAATATTAGATACGGTTGCTGAAATTACCATGGAGTTAGTTACAAACGAATTGAAAATTGCAGAATGTTTTACATTACAAGTTGATGGTTCTGTTGATAAATATTCGATTGATAATAAGTTCATAACAGCCCGTTACCTTGATAAAAATAAAGAAATGAAAAATATATTTCTCGGAGAAAGCCATTCTTCTAAGCGTGGAGCAGAAGGCTTACTTGATTCGGTTATAATCGTTTTAAAAAACCTTAATTTAGAACACACTGCTACACAAAACATGACTGAATTAACTACCGATGGTGAGAGTGCCAACACTGGTAAGAAAAGTGGTCTCTGGGTCAGACTTAAAGAACATTTGAAAAAAGAGATACTTTGTATTTGGTGCGTAGCACATAGGTCTGATTTAGCGTTTGGAGATTTACAAGCATCAATAGTGGAAGTAAAAAACTGGAAATCAAATGTGAAAGCTGTGACTACATTTTACAAAAGCTCAGCAGTACGAATAGAAGAGCTCCAATTAATTTCTAAACAGTCAAAAAACAAGTATTATCGATTTCCAGAACATTTTGAAGTACGATTCGTTCAACATCTTATAAATTGAGTGCCGATGACGAACCCCAGTTAATACATTCTATGGAATGCATTAACTGAGGGTGCCATCAGTAGAAGAATACAAAACCTCGAACCGTTAGATAAGGAGACACGTCATCTTTTTTATGTTTCACGCAAGTATTCCTTAAGAAATTCGAGAGAAGATTCAGTTCGATTCTCGGTCAGATTTTTTGTGATTTTTTTTTAATTCTTTTTTATTTGTTAAGCCTATTTATTTATTTTTATTATAATAATATTATTATAATTATTGGTTCGCCAATTACATTAATTATAATATTACTTATTACCTTGGTTTTCTCACTATGTCATTACATCAACCAGTCGGAACATAAATTTGACATTTAAAATCATGTGACTATGTTTTAGATGGCGGATTTCATCCCATGCACCAGAGATGTGAGCAATACAATGAATTTAATAAAGGCACAGTCCCTGCGTGTATACAACACTGAGCAACAGTCACGAACGAAAATACAAATTTGCAGCGTAGAACGAAAACCACATTAAATCACAATTGATGCTAGTAAGCGAACACCCTAAAACATGGTAACGAATAAGTGTAAGGCAATGAAGTTCTGTAGAATAACATTTATTAAACATCAAAATAAAGAAAAACGTGGTTTAAACAAAAAATGGCTGTAGTAATAATATTACACGTGAACGAATTCGAGATGCACACAATGAAAAATGACAAGATACCAAATATTAATTGTGCATCATAAGACGATAATGGATTCGCGACAAAAGCTACGGTCACCGGATACCATAATGATGATAAAGATGCCTCCGTGCCACTATGAAAATAAGACTTGTGATCTCAGTGCCTCATGATTCTTAACTATAAGAACAATTGATAATTATAAAGAAAACACGAAAAAACAGACATTTCCGCGCAATAATTACAGCGCAACTACGTTGCTGGTCGGTGACACGCTGAGAAACATTGCTGTCACCGACCGATGCTGCAGTAACTTAACTCACTGCTATGCCTAGGTTAGGTTAGTCTAGGTTATAATTATATAAATCTTTAATTTTGATGAAAGCAATAAAAAAATATTCAGTTATATTTTAAACCTTTGGTTACATTTAACTTTTTAGGAGTAATTCTCGATTAAAGTAGTACGTGACACCCATCCTCAATTTTAAATTCGATGACCAAATTATTTTCACTGCAATAAAAATTTTTTCGACGACAATGGGTAAACGAAAAAAAACTGAACTAAATACTTATCAGACAACACTTCTCCTTCACTATCGATATAATAAACACATACATCAGTGGCGGATCTTTGATATTTTGATAGGGGGGGGGGCAGATATAAATTGTATAATGATTCTTTAATGATATAATTAATAATACATACTCTTATTTTTAAACAAAATTGGTAATAATAATAATGATAATAATAATGTATAAATTATTATTAAATAATTTATACATATATGTAGTCATTAATAAGTAAATAAGTAAAAATATTTTTATAGGTTCTCATATTGCTTCATAGGTCGAATTGAAGTTTTCGTTTGGTTTTTAGTAAACACATCTAGTATTTCTCCTGGTTTTACTTGAATATCTTTATTTAAACGCAACATTGCTAAGCCGTTAAGTCTTTCCTGGCCCATTGTCGATCGTAGGTAAGTTTTAATCCTTTTTAAAGAACTAAATGACCTTTCAGCACTTGCTGTTGTTATATGTATCACACTAAGGATTGTTAAAAGACATTTAATGTTAGGAAACATAGATGCATATTTAAAAGCTTCCATTGAAGATTCAGCCTTTTCTGGTTTATTTTTCCAAAATTGTTTCCATAAATTTAACTCACCGCGTAGTGCTTCAATACTATGAGGTAAATCTGCTTCATATATCTGAGCCGCATTCAAAATTTTATCGTCTGAAGTTTCATAAGTAAAATAATATTTAGGAATGATTAATTTTAATTTAGAAATAACTGAATCGTTATTTTCATTGAAACGTGAATTTAGTTCTGACATAAGATAATCCAAATAGAAAATAGTTAACGTGGTAGAATTCAGATAAATCAGTTGATTGGGGCTTAGCGTTTGCACGATGACATTGTGTTTTTGTTACTCTTGGAATCCTTATATCATCGTCCATTTTTCCTGCAGTTATTGTTATTTCTTCAAAGATGTTTTTAAATTCCGTTTTTGAATTTTCTCTTATTGTAGTTAATACATTTTTAACATTGATGATAATTTTTATCGATTGTGTATAGTCAATATTAATATTCTGTAACTGAATTGAAAGTGAAAGTGTTATGGCTAAAAATGTCGTTAATATTTTTAAGGAAATCAAAAATTCAAATTTACAAATAGCTGCAGTTAGAGATTGTGCATTGCTTCCTGTATGATTGCTATGGCTTAATTCGTCTAATGTAACTATTATAGCTGATAATATTTACAAAAAATGTAAAACTCCATCATGTCTTTCGACCCGACGTGTTTTATACAACTTTTTAGCTTTTACTGCTTTTTGATGTGCAAAAAGTTCTTTTATTTTATCACTCAAAATTTGAGTTCTTAAACCAGATTCCCTTAAGAAGTTATAAATATTTGTTATTATTCTGACTGTGTTGCGAATAGAAGGTACAGTGCTTGCTTTACTGAGCACTAAATTTAATCTGTGGTTGGCACTGTGAGTATAAAATGCAAGAGGCTGTAAACTTGCAATTCGAGATTGTACTCCTTGAAACGCACCACTCATATTCGCGGCACCATTATATCCTTGTCCTCGAAGCAGAGCAAGATCTAAATTTTTTTCTTTTAATATTTGTATAATGGTGTCAGCTAAATATTCACCAGTTAGATGTTCAACCTTTGTGAATCCAAGAAAATGTTCCCATATTGAGCATGTGTTCGAATTAAAATACCGAACACAAAATAAAAAATGTTCAGAAATACTTACGTCAGTCGTCTCATCAGCTAAAATACTATAAAACTTTGAAATATGAACTTTTTGAATTATTTTATCACTTATTACATTTCCGCAGCAATCAATTAAATCATTTTGCGTCGTATTATTAATAAAGGCAGTATTTTATGTTGCAGATTTTAAATGCTCTTTTAGAATTTGATCTCCAGCATTAATACGAAATTCTAATAAAGCCTTAATAATTTCCTTTTTGATTTTTGATATTGTCATCAACAGAATATATAGAACCATCATCTCTATAACTGTGTATGGATATATTTTGTAGGACACAAATTAGTATGGTTTCAATAATAGGGATTAATTTTTGCCTATTTTGTTCAACTTTACGTGTCATAGCAGTGTCTAATGTTGTTTCTATATTTTGTATTTTTCCATTCATAATACTTATGAAATTATCAGATTTAAAAACACAATTCTTATGGTAGTCATTATTTTGATGGACCTTAAAATTTTCTTTTGCTTTTTTGTAAAGAGATAATGGTATTGTAACTAATTCTCTTAGTTTTACACGACTACGACCTCCCTCATCGCTTCCAAATAAAACACAAATTCAACAAAAAGCTCATCCGAGTGTTTGGCTACAAGACAACCAGGGATACTCATTTATCCAGTGAAGTTTAAAGTAACGATTTTTATCTCATTGAGAAATTAGAGGACAAATAAAATTTTCATGTGGAACCCACGGATCATGTAGAACATCATAAAGTTCGTCGTCTTTTATTTTATTAAATTTAAAACCTACATAGTTGCCAATATCTCTTGTATTTGAAAGTAATATTATAATTAATGTAATTGGCGGACCAATAATTATAATAATATTATTATAATAAAAATAAATAAATAGGCTTAACAAAAAAAAAAGAATTAAAAAAAAATCACAAAAAATCTGACCGAGAATCGAACTGAATCTTCTCTCGAATTTCTTAAGGAATACTTGCGTGAAACATAAAAAAGATGACGTGTCTCCTTATCTAACGGTTCGAGGTTTTGTAATCTTCTACTGATGGCACCCTCAGTTAATGCATTCCATAGAATGAATTAACTGGGGTTCGTCATCGGCACTCATTCCATACTTTTCACCAGCTTTTTAATTCGACACGACATCTATGTATACGGCGCCCGAACGAGACAGCTCGGACGCACAGGTGTTTAATAATTTTTATTATTACTTAAAGTAAAGTGTTTAGATTTAACTAGATAAAAATAATAAAAATAAAAAATCGAAGTATCTATTATTTTATTTAAACAAAAATCCTTAGACTATCTCAGAAATCGTTATTTATTTATTGTAATAAATCTGGATATTTTTTTTTACGATATTTAATCAAATCATTGAACGCCGTAATTACTTAAGAATGAATACAACAAAAAGGTATAAAATTGACCCCGCACACGAACTTATATGTCAACACTTGTTAACGGTGAAATTCACAAGTCTATATCACTGGATGACAACAATGAATTAAGCCACATTATTCACAATAGTCGCTGAAATAATGGGAAATATAACAAAATGGCAATATAACTGCGCAAACGACACTATAATATCCGATAATAATTATATCTAAAACAATTTCCCCAATTTTATCTTAATATACACAGATGGTTCCGTTTCCCCACTACCTGCTGGTTACGTTTTTTTATTCTTGATCTACACATCTTTATGTCTAATAATTTACATGAAATATTGCAAGAGAAGAAATAAAAAAAATAGAAGTATTTGAAATTTTGTATTACAAGAGGATGGAAAAGATAAATTGGACTGACAGAATCACTAATGAAGAAGTTTTAGAAGGGGTGTCTGAGAGGAAATCAATGTGGAAGAGTATACGGAAAAGGCGAAATGAATTAGTAGGTCATATTTTAAGACACGATGGGCTGCTATTACTAATCTTAGGAGAAATAATCAAATGTAAAAAATCATAGAGGAAAACCAAGATTGCAATACATAATTCAGATAATAGATCAAGGATGTAATTCATATCATGAATTGAAAAGGAAGACTAATGACAGAGAAACATGGAAGTTGCTGCAAACCAATCATTAAATTCAATATTACAGAAGAAAAATCACATTTACATAACGTATATCTGTAAATATTTCAATACATTTTATTTTATCCTAAAATAACTAAAATATGCAGTCGCGATAAGTCAACCATCGAAGTTAGTTGTTAGTTAATTCGTCGCTCCGTTATCTACATTCTGCTATCGCCTTTTGTACAATGCCGGCGTCGTCTTCAGGCGGCGGCGACAATTGTCCGCATGATCACAACAGCTCAATTGGAAAAATTAAAAAGCCATCCAATGCCTCCAGACCGCACAACACGGATCAGGATTGGACCGTTAAGACCAGCAAAAAAGCTTCTCAAACTAAAAAGGTATCAAATCCAATTAGTTCCCTTTCTCTCACTCTACTTATCAATATTAATCCACCAGTTCTAAATATGTCCGGCAGTACATTCAATTACGATATCTCGTTATCTCACTCCTCTAATGACGCAGCCGATAATAATATGAATATATACTCAACTTTATCGCATTCTACTATTGATCACGCTAATGTTCCTGTTACCATAAATACAACAAACTTCGCCGATAGTATAAACACAAATATAAATTCCGATTCAAACGTAATGCAATCGTCACGTAATCTCGTACAACTTAATAAACACTTCTCCGCGGATTACACTGGTCCGTACACTACCATTGCTGAACATTCAGATGTCAACCTAAATATTGATCACTGGCATCCGTTAAAATATGCAAAAATCTTTTCTTCAAATTTTGATGGTATAGACAACATCAAACCAATTGGTCACAAAAAAATAAAAATCACCTTCAATACTAAAATGTCTGCAAACAACTTTCTCTCCTCTTCTCTACTCACAACCAACGGATTCACAGCATGTATTTCATCTACGCTCATCTACTCTTTTGGAATAATCTGAGTCGATAGTTCCCTAACCGAAGAAGATTTCTGGGAAGGACTTAATAATACAGTCCGTGCAATTGCCTTTAAACGCATTTCAATCAAAAAAGAAAATATCTTAATTCCTACTCGTGTTGAAGAAATTAAATTCTTATCCCCTAAAATACCAGATGCTCTATCGATTTACAACGTCACTTTCAAAATCTCTCCCAGCGTCCGTTCCTCCATTCAGTGTAATAACTGTTTACGATTTGGTCACACGGCAAAATTCTGTCGAAGTAAAATTAAATGCAGTCATTGCGGTTTAAATGACCACTCAATAACTACCTGCCCTTCATCCAACTCTACTGATCCAGTATGCATCTTCTGTAAACTCCCCCATCTCTATCGATCGGAACTGTCAAGAGTGGACATTCCAAAGGGATGTAAAGAAAATTATGGCTATAGAAAACCTACCTTTCCGTGAAGCAGTCTCTCTCAAGAAAAAAAATTACTTCTCAAGCGCATTTAGTTACTCAAATATTGATTACAAACAGTCTGTGATGAATCCTTCTCATCAAGTCTCGGTCACTTCCATGAGTTCTTTTCCCCCGTTAACTTCTCAATCTAATTATCACTATACACCACATAGGAAACATAACAACCATTCTTTCTATTCCAAACAAGCCAATTTTCATGTTCCAAACCAAAATAATTTTTCTCTACCAAATGGGCATTTCTTAGATTATGCTAGTAAATATCGGCCTCCGGATTCCAAACTTATTTATGCTGATCTAACATGGGTTTACGCTTTCTGCATCAAATTTTCTGAATCCTTATCCAACTCTCCCAACCCCTCTCCCTTATCCCCCTCTTCTCTTCAAAATGTAATCTAATCATTCCTCTTGTCTTGTCTCTCTATTCCAAACACCTCCGTTATCTCTTCTAATGATTAATCTTCTTCAATGGAATGTCTGGTTTGGCTTTCTCTCTTCCAACTTGCTCAGCACAACACTTTCTTTACAGGGAACCTTAATGCCCACCAGACGAGGTAATTTAATCTACGACGCGTTAAACTCCGTTAATCTTAATATACTGAATAACGGCTCACCTACGCACGTAGGTAGACCCAATTCTACAAATTCGTGCATTGATTTATCTTTAACCACCCCAAATTTATTCTGGCTCTCTACCTGGCGCATCATAGGCCCCAACGGTAGTGATCATTTACCCATCATTATATCTGTCAATTCAAC